TCCAAGATGGGAGCCAGAAGGGATAAACAGTCACCATGGAAAGTGCAAGCTGCGATGGCCGGATGCTGAGGGCAGACGTTCAGGACCAGTCTTGGTGGGCTAAGCTGCCTTGGGCAGGAAGGGAGCTTGGGCTCAGGCCAGGAGCTCTGAGGTTCTCTTTGGCCAACCACCCCCAGGTTTCCAGCCCCTCCGCCTCACTCAGGTCCGTGTGTGGTGGAGAGGTGTGGGGGGTTAGCGGCTCTACAGCTGCCAGGCTTGTGGGCACTTACCAGTTGAGGCGTGGGGGCCCTAGTCTAGTCCTTCACTGGGGAAAGCTTCCAAGGGGCTTAGGCTTTCACTGAAGTATCCTCAGACAGGTCGGGATGAGGATGAGGCCTTGCCCTTGGGGGTCGGCCCTTCCTCTGTAGCATCGAGGAGCTGCTGCAGGTAACAGGAGGGTGCCAAGCATCACGTGGCCGTGGCCTGCATGCTGAAGAGGGGGCCAGCGGAGAGCTTCCCTGGGTGGAATGAGAGGCATGCAAGTCAAAACCACAAAGTAGGGCTTGGGCATAGTGGGCTCATGCCTATAATCCTAGCGCTTTGGGAGGCATGAGGGTGTTTAGGAGGCTGAAGTGGGTGGGTCACTTGAGGTCAGGAGTTTGAGACCAGCCTGGCCAATATGGTGAAACCCCATCTCTACTAAAAAATACAAAAATTAGCCAGGCATGGTGGTACACATCTGTAATCTCAGCTACTTGGGAGGCTGAGGCATGAGAATCGCTTGAACCTGGGAGACAGAGGTTGTAGTGAGCTGAGATTGCACAACTGCATTCCAGCCTGGGCAACAGAGCGAGACTCCATCTCAAAAATGAATAAATAAATTAAGAACAAAACACGAGTGTACCCCCTCCCTGCACCCCCTTATTCCCATGCTGGCCTGGAAGGGATTGGTTTCATTATGTTTGTTTTCTTCATTAATAACATTTGAATACCACTGAGGTGGTAGCACTAAGCACTTCTCCAATTCTAGAGCGATGTGCAAACAGGAACAGAGGCTGCAGATGAGGTCAGGATTAGGCGAGGACCTGCAATTCCCCTTAACTGAGATGCCCGGACCTCCCTACTTTCTCATGCGAAACTCCAGCTCATTTCATAAGCTTTCTATTTTTCTACTACTACTTTGGACCAGCCAGATTAATCTCCATAAGTGGCTCTGCCCCTTGAGACACTCTGTTCTAGACTCTGAGCTTTTCCAAGTTACCTGCAGTCTAGCTCATGTTCAGAGTGCTGGACCATGAAGACATCCATGCCTGGCTGAACATGTACTGAGAACTGAACCTGAATCAGGTAGACCAAAGTCCTAATCCAGTCTTTTTTTTTTTTTTTTTTTTGAGAGGAGTCTCGTTCTGTCACCCAGGCTGGAGTGCAGTGGCACTATCTCGGCTCACTGCAAGCTCCGCCTCTTGGTTCACACCATTCTCCTGCCTCAGCCTCCCGAGCAGCTGGACTACAGGCGCCCGCCACCACACCCGGCTAATTTTTTGTATTTTAAGTAAGACAGGATTTCACCGTGTTAGCCAGGATGGTCTCGATATCCTGATCCGCTGATCCACCCATCTCAGCCTCCCAAAGTGCTGGGATTACAGGTGTGACCCCACCGCACCCAGCCCTAATCCAGTCTATTAGCTGGGTGAACTTTAGCAAACTGCTCTAGTTCTGAGCTTCCAGCTCCCTTATGGGTAAAATGGATTGCACCTGCCACCCAGAGTCATGAGGCTGAAATAGCATAAAGCAATTAACATGGGGTTGGAATGTTTAGAAAGTAAGGGAAATGGGAAGCGGGGCAGGCTCAAGAGCAGCCTGGTTGAATGCTAGGCAACTTTGGCTGGTGCACTGGCTCCACGCCTTTTAATCCAACTTTGGAGGCCGAGGAGGATGGTTTGAGCCAGGAGTTTGAGACCAGCCATGGTCATAGTGGACCTTGTCTCATCAAAAACATTAAAGAACCAGCCCAACAATGGGTAGCACACACTTGGGCTCTCAAGAGGACCTACTTGAGCCTATGAGTGTCGAGGCAGCAATGAAGCCTGATTGCACCGCTCTGACTGTAGCTTGGATGACAGAGTGTAGACGCTGTCTCCCTAATAAAAAAAAAGATATGCGAGACCAATGTTATCAAATACCTTGTCCAATACTGTTTGAAAGAATTGTGAGGGATGCACTCAGTGTCAAGTCATAAGTGGGATAGGGGAGTCGGGAAACAAAGGCAAAGAGTAGTTCCCGCTTTGTTCAAACCTTTAGTCTATTATTATGTTCATTCAATAAGTGGAACTTATTGTTGACTG